CTGCTGATCTAGCAGTAGCTTGCAGTGCTGCATTTAACCACTGCGCCACCTTGGCTCTTCAGTTCCCAGAATTCTCAATAATGTTCACACCAGCTGGAGGACCCTAGGAGTTGAAGTCCACATAACCAGAAGATACTCAATTTGGGGAGAGATACCATAAATTTACACCAGCAGTTTATAGGAGTCTTCTTTTATTGTGTAATTTTTGCCTTCTGGGTTGAAATGGTGGTCCTTCAAAGTGCAGAATGAGTCACAATTCTTTATTCCCTTCATGCACACAGAAGTGTCATCGCTCGTCAGTGTGCCTTTGAGAAACCATTGTTCATTATTGTATTAAACTTTTGGTGTTTGATGTGACGTATCTGGTAGGTAAACTCTTTGAATAAAATCTAAAGATGCTCAAATTCTATCAAAGAGAAATGTAAATTAAACATTCCTACATTTGCAGAGCTCCAATAATTTCAATGGGATTTGTTTCCGTTATTGTAGATTGGTTGATTGATATACAGTTTTATCTGGCCCAATCTGCAAAAACTGGATGGGTAACAACGAAACAATATTATAACTTAGTGTTATTACGTCTTTGCAGATTAGTATACTATTCCATAGTATAATCCATTGTACTATAATGTTATAATCAAGAGAAGCAATGCAAATAATTATATTAAAAAAAATCACTGCAATAACAAACCGCAGTTAAAGGCCACTGGTAAAATGTAGATTTAATTCTTTAAAATCCACAAAGAGCAAGAGAAGAATATTACAGAGAGTAATGTCTACCACTGGAAGACCTGCTGCCTTCTCTATTTCTCATACAGCTCTTGAAAATAGACGTCTCTCAATAAACTTTCTTTCCTCCAATTGAATTGAAGAGACTTCAATTCTGTCTGCTAAGTAACCTTTCTGCATGGCTGAGAATTCTGGAATTGATTCCAAGATGCACTCTTTGATTAAATAGTATTCCAGCCAGAGCTTTCTATGACCTTGTGCTTTTCAGAAGTGTTTATTTTCAGAAATAAACGTCCCAGAATTCCTAAGCAGCCGGTAGGAATTCTGGGAGTTGTTTCCAGGGCATTTGGAGCATAGTAGGTTGGCAGTCTAGCCCAGGGGTCAACACTCAAAGAGTCACAAAGGTCTTAACTGGAAGCCCCCCATTCAATTCTGGAGCTGACCAGAAGTCCAGTTCCCCCACCATAGAGTCTCCTCCTAGCGTGGTGGTGTCCTATTTCCTCTCCAACCGGAAGTTTGGTTCCTCTACCACAGAGTCTCCTAGTCCAGCCTCCTTTTTCCTCTACCTGTTCTAACTGAAAGCCCTATCAATTGTGGAACCAACCAGTGACAGGGAGCCGCAGCAGAGGGATTGAAAGAGCCACATGCAGCTCCAGAGGCATGGGTTGCCGACCCCTGTCTTGTCTGTGTAAATAGAATGCACTGGGATTATGCTCTGTGCTTTCCTGAAGAGAAGGTTATTAATTACAGATTCCACATTTTAAAAAATCGATCTTCTCTGACGTCTTCTCATCAGACTTCACAAAATAATTTTACAAATAATCCCAGAGCTCCTTCTTTAGAAAGAGTTGTCTTTTCAAATATTGTACATTCAAAGCTTGCAATAACTCAGTTTTGTTAGCACCATAAATATTTGCAATTCCTTTCTGTTTTCTTTTCCCCAAATGTAGAACCAGTTTTTTATTAGCTGCGCCGATGACAAAGTTGTGTCAAACCGAATTGGTGATGCCATTGCACATAGAATTCTCAAAGCTTACAGGTAATTTGGCTGCAAAGAAATGTTTTTTTTGCAACTATGTACTGTTCAGAGACTTCCTTCTTTCTAGGAAGGCCTTGGCTGAAACCTTTTCAGATTGCTTGAAGGATCCACAAGTCTTGTTAGCCGAAGAAATTGTGCAAATGAAAAGTGTATTTACATAATTCTAAATAGAGCCTTGGGTTTCCATGGTACAGAACATAGCTAAAGAGACAGAAT